AATTTATAATAAGAAATTTCTTCTAGAATATCATGTCCATAAGAATGAATTTGTTTCCATAGACGTTTTAGAAAGAAATGGTATAGTTCGTGATCGAGTTTGGCATACTGTCGATATAAACGAACTTCTTTCAGTCCAACTTCATTCAAGTCTGAACTTTCTTGATTAACAATTAGATTGACAAATAGAACATCCTTAACATTCCAGTTTAACATTCGTCTTAAAAGTACGATTGATTCGTCCATATACTCGTTTATAATGACAAGGTCGAATTCCTTATCAAGTTTCTCTAAATATTGCTTCACCTCGTGCGAGCTGAAAGAATAAAAAAGGTGCAATGGAAAATTAAATTCAAAGGCCATTCTTTTATTCAAAACGGATGTTACCGGATTGTTGTTTCCTTGTTTTCAGACAGAGTGGAATTCTGAAGAAAATGACGAAGGAATTGAGCATGTCTGTTATGTTCACCATAATGAAAATCCCGAATGATGGATTTAAATTGCAGAAACGGTTCTCGGACAATTCCTATGTATTTTGTATCATTTGGCATGATTCTTTCAAAAGCAGAACGGTTATAAACAACATGGAAACACAATATTTCGTACCTTTTACCTTTAGGAGGTGGAATGATATTGTATCCTGGTATAACTGATTCTTCTATACTGATAACATTAGGATAAGTTGATTTATTATTGGCAACAACAAAAGTTAAATTCCTTTTGAGTTCGTAACGAAGGAAGATTCCCTAAGCTGTTGTACTCCCCGTTTTGTGGACTTTCAAGAAAGCTATATGTTTATTTGGTGTTTGCTTTGTTGGAAAATGTATTCTGTTGCTGCATTATTCAAAACAGCTATTTGGTTTGTGTTTCCGTACTTCCAATATTTCTGCAACGATGTTCGGTATTCAAGGTTAGCGGTCATCATGTAAAGGAAAAGTGTTAGAAAAATTCCGAAACATATACATCTGAAATGTAAAATCTCAGTTTAGATAACGCTGAATTTGTCCAAACGAGGTGTTACATCTTAAAAGTGCATCAAACCTTAAAAAACGAATGGCCTAATGGTTACAAACAGAGCATGGATGGGGGACGAGGTCATCCAGGGAACAATAATTGTCATTTTTCAGAAGTTTTATTGAAAAGGCAAATTCTATGTTAAATAGAAATGTATAAAATGAAGAGGTCAATTTTTCATAAAATATGAGTCTTTTAAGTACATACATGTACCATGGTTTTAGAGATGCAAGTTTATCCCCTCCACACGCAAACAATACATACAATGAAATATATGGAGATAACGAACAGTATTCAAGCTCAAAAGTCCATTATACAATACAAAATAGGAGCAGAGCAAACACGGACCTCCAAACATCAGAGGTGGGATCAGGTGCCATGGAGGAGTGAGCATCCCCTGCCGACCGGTCACACCCGCCGTGTGCTCCTTGTCATGATCGGGAAATAACGGAAAAATCCTTCGACAATTCAGTGTGTAAATAATGGCCTAACAATTAGTATGAAAAACGTCAGTCAGCATTTGACTCAATGATAAATTGTATTTGCTGACAAGGTCATTGTATCGACCATAGAACTTACGAAATGATGATTTTAAACGAGACAGCTGATATTCTTGTTTCATCAACTTATTTGTCAATAATTTACCTCGTTTTAGAAATTGTACATACGTAGAGCATGCTCTTGCGTATCGAATTAACTGAGAGATATATACCCCGTATGCAGGTGATGAAGGTATATTGCTGCATAAGTAAGGGAAGTTGACGATTGAAAAGTTAAAGTCATCACGTTTATCATAAAGCTTGGTTGTTAGATTACCATTAACGTCTTTTTCAAGTAAAATATCCAAATATGAAACAGATGTGTCAGACTCTGTGGTATCTTTTATCTCAAGTTCACCAGGATATATCGTATCGACATAAGAATGAAAATAGCCATTGTTAATTGACAATACGTCGTCGATATACCTAAATGTCGAGTTGAACGCCACAGCAAGTGTTTTCTTCTTTTCACGTACGAGATTTTGGACAAATTCTGCTTCATATGATCTGCATAGCATATGGTCTGCTAATAACGGGCGCAATTATACACTAGTTAGATTCAAGGATCATTTTATATACATGTAAGAATTTTTCAGACATGGAAATCCTTTTCGTTGTAATACATATATGGAATGCCTATTATTTATAGACAGCAGATGCTGTTCTTTAACAAACTTCTTTTATGTACAGAAACGTGAAGATTTCATTCCTAATAACAATACCAACAAATCTACAACTTAGCGATGTTTGTCAATTAACTAAATTACTATTGGCAGAGTTTTTCTACATGTATATCGGAATGAACTGAATTTTCAGCAATACTAGGTATCAAATTTTATATTAACGTGTAAAAATACATACATCTTTGTCACTGATACAGCCATCACATGATAGCAAGTCTTCTCCAGCGTTTAATCTATCTGTAGAGGTTCACTATTGAATTATGCCTGCTGGTTATCTAGCTAAAAATCACCGAGTTCACCTCACGATCAATTCACCCATAAAAGGCATATTCAATGTAATTTTTGTTGATCTTTTGACGTATAAAGGGTTCAATTCAAGACAAAAAAGTTCATGTGCAATAAACCAAAAACAACTAGTATAACGATTGTGACATTTTATGGTCACAGATTTATAAGTTCAACATTTGGCTGACTTGTCTTTATATACTTATAACGATCGTCATATTTCTTTGAACATTGTGGAGTTCGTTTAAACTTCTTTAAGAAGATTAAGGGGGGAGGGTTGCCCCACATTAAAGACGCTGAAACAATTATGCATGAAAGAGGTTCTGTCATCAAGTTACGTATTAAACTTAGACATCCTTTTTCCGGTGACTCTGGGGAAGCTTCAGTAGACGAAAGACATAAGACCTATGGCATTTTTAAATGACAAGAAAAATGAAGAAAGAAAATCCTCAAAAGAAAACTTCCGATGTTACATTAAACTTTTACCAGACCTGTTTACCCATTGGTAAAATGCAAAACCATATCATATCTGTATCCCAAAAGCATATGAGAAATACTAGTATACTAGTAAGCAGTAAACGAGGGAAACTTATCTTTGCATGTAACTAATCACATCAACTTTTGTGAACGTAAAGAGTTGAATCAAAATACATTACATGTGTGAGAGGTATATACATGTAATATACTTGTGGCCAAATCTTCACATGCACAGTTTAAGGTGGCATTTTAAATAGTTCGCCCTGAGTAATACTTTTAAACAGCACGTTATAGCTGTTCGTGATTTAAAAGAGACTTAACAGTGCCAGATCTATAAAAAAGCTTTGGATGGAAATACAGCCTACGAAGACGCATAGAAGGCAAACATGTCTGATTCAATGATTTTTTTTTGTCAGGGAGAGGCATAACTTCACTTACAACCAAATATTCATTTTAATTATATATATATATATATATATATATATATATATATATATATATATATATATATATATATATATATATATATATATATATATATAATCCTCATTAATCAAAATTGCAAAAGGATCAGAAAAAAAGATATTTGTGTCAGTTTATCAGTAATGTGAATTTGAATCAAGTTTTATCTACTTCATTACTTACTTTTACCAACTCCGATACTTATGGATAAAACTACAGAAACTAAACATCCCAAATGAAGAATAAAACAGATATTACGGATCATTTTGATAAAATCAATTTCTCTTTCACAGTGTGTAAATTAAGTTTTCCAGAATCACATTATGAGGAATACAATCACTAACTTATTAATATCGTCACAGTTTCTTCGCTGATTTCCCGAAATTAAGTGATCTAGTGAGCACTTGTAGTGATGAACGTATAATATGGTATCACTTTAGTGAGAGCTACCGGGATGTGTGCAACGAGAAGCTGCCAAGTGCAACTACAGGAGCAACCTAAAATGAATCACAATACTCACTAGTAGTGTTATATACATGTTCAAAATTATGTATTTTTCTAATTATTGAATTAATATAAAGGAAAATCATTTTCTTTAAATCAAGGATCAGATAAACATGTAATATAAGGAATAACCTCTTTTTTATTTATAATGGTGATTTCACAGTTTTCTCATGTGATGATTTTATGCATGAAAACCTGCATTTATGCAAATTATCACGTGACTCTAATTGATCACATCATTTAAACCGGAAAACTAGACAGGTATTTCTTAAATAAAATTGTCAAGTTAAAAGACTAATTCTGCCAAATTTTACCCTGCAAGGTAGATTGAACTATATGTATTTTACTGAAAAAATTATATGTCTTTTGGAAAATAATTGGAGTTAAAACAAACTTTGAATTTTGACGTTCTGTACAAGCCCTCTAGTCATAAGCTTTGTTCCAGCTAAACAACGGACAAATATAAATTTGTTCGAATCAGTCTAACTAAGCCCATCCCCTACTATTTCACAACGAAGTGAAATAATAGGCGGTGGTTTTAGTCAGACTGTGTTTGAATGATATTGAATCGAGGTCATGTCATATCTTCAAATTATTAGCTATCAACCATCAAATGTTTCTTCTTTTTTTACCTCATCAGTTCAATGTTATTAAAAAAAAAATGACAAACAGTGTCCCGATCTTCAATCTCAATCATATTAAGCTATATATAGATAGACAAGAAAGGGTATTGATTATAATGTTGATATTGCAAGTATACTTGTAGGTACGTATACACGCAATCCACATTACTGTCAGCTGTACAAGTTTATCTTTACCTGAATTTTTATTATCTTGAAAACATGTTGAAAAAAGGAGAATATTATATAATGATACAGACAAAAATGGCTAGAAAGTGTATACATCACACCAAAAAAAAAATAAAGAAAAAAATATTCGTTTATCTTTTAACCTTCACCTCAAAAAGGTTAAAATTTAGTAGACAGATCTACAAACCAGGCACTGTCACTTATTACGCTGAAAGTACTGAGAGGAAATGGTGGTTACATTAGGAGCCTTGATTACCGGTCTGTTAATTTTTATTGTCTGTGTCCTCTTCCTATTTCTCGTGTAAGTATTATTACATAATTTTTTTCAACATATAAAGCTATATTTAGAATCATTCTTATGAACATTTTATATTTAAATGCAGTGTCGATGACATTATCATTTACGGTAGTTTCGTCCATCATTGGACTGGATTTTTACCTCGCTTTTGTTATTATAGATTGGAACAAGAAAAAAAATCAGAGAAATGAAGACATTTTTGTAATTGTTTGGCAAAAACATGTATGATTTTTTTTTTAATCAGACGCCTGTTTTCTGACTTGAACTAACAAAACCACCCTTTCAATATGTGTTGAAAAGAAATACACCAAGCATTTGCAATCCAGTAGGGAAATAGGGGTCTTCACCCCGAAGAATTTTCAGTGTTATTGAATTTATGTAGTAAAATAAATTAAAAAATACTTTGGACCCTTTTAAGAAATATGGACTCCTCCTCCGTTGGTAAGAAGAGTCATTTTTATAACGGAAAGTGTTTTGTCCGTGAGATGACTGTGTCATCCCTTACCCCCCAGAGAAATGGATTTCTTTTAAATATATGTACATGTTTTGGCACTATTATTTCGGAGTTGTTTTTTTTTTGGGGGGGGTATGGACCCCACCCCACCCCCTTTAGGAACTTCGATTTCGTAACATACCAATTGTGACATATTTATTGAATATTATTTGAAATTTTACTTTATGTGAAAAGTTGGAAATATTAATACATGTATCCGACACCTTTCATGCTGCTCAATTTTTTGAAATCAAAAATTTTAATAATTAAAATATTTCAATGGGCCATTTTTTTTATTCTTGCCTTGTAGCGCCAGGAATCCATGTTTCCTTCGTCGAGATTTTTGAGCCATAGAGTTCTTTTCAGCTTTATTTGCCTATCCACTGTATCCAGGCATTCTTTTACACTTTGAGTAAATAGGGAATCTATATCAGACTTTTATGTAATAAAACTTCTTTTTTTTAAACTACATTTAAGTCAATTATTTTTATTTCACAGTTACTATAGAGATGCACGTTTATCAATGATTTTTTAATTTTTTTTTTCAATCCATATTCCAAAGACGAGAATATATATCATAGAATGAAACTAAAAATAAGCTGTTTTAAATGAAAATAGATCGAACAAAGAAAACAAATAAACAAAAACATTTTTTTTTAATTTTCTGTATTTTAAAGATACGTGAAATGGAATTTCGGGATTTTCAAGAGAATGGGGGTCAAAGGGCCACCCCCTCATATTTTGTTTGGAAATCACATGACCATCGCTAAAAAGGTAACTTTAAGAGAACAAGAAAGAATTTTTTTTTTGATTGGCCAATAAATCGATAATTTAGAAATTCAAAGTTGTGTCTTTACTTCATGTAAACATCGAAAATTAAAGGAAAATAAGAAAAACTTGTAAACAATAACAAAAAATTTATTCCAGGGATTTGCGGAAGCCGACATGATGTGGTGGAGGGAATATGGAGATGTATTTGGGTATTCTGTTTTTTAATTTAATAATTTTTCTACATTTTTGTGAATTTAAATTTCCATTTACTATATCAACCTAACAACTGTGCGGCTATGAATTTCATTATCTGAGATGTTCGGTTATAACAGATACTTTAGCGGCAGATCACCAATGTTGGTTGTGGCAGATACGGACATATTAAAAGAGATTCTTGTCAAGCAATTCCAAAACTTCACAGATCGAGCAGTATGTTTGGTTAAGATAAGAAATCATTGAACCCCATCTTCAACCCCATTATCTTATTCTCACAAGTGTAACCTCCTTGCTTTGGTCTCAAACAGAGATAAATATAAACATGTATCCCTAATCGGTAAAGCTTTTCATTCTAATATGCATTGTTCAGCATTTGGCTGTATATGTAGTTGTCATGTAGGTCGGAAATAAAAAAGAGTCTAAATCAGGTACAGAAAGATACTAGTAGTAGACAGTTTGAACAGAAATGCTTGAGCTTCTAGAAAAGATTATGGCTTTTATTAATTCTTCTGGTGTAGAAATTGACAAATGCATTTCTAAGATTTTCTTTCAAAGTTAAATATATATATATATATAACTTTTTAAAAAATATTATATTTACAAACTTTTTGTATGAATGTAGGTTCTACGGGGTTTCAGTGGTGACTTGGAAGAAAATCTGAGTGCCCAGCAGGGAAAAGCATGGAAAAGTTCGCGAACAATATTATCCCCTACTTTTACATCTGGAAAACTCAGGAAGGTGGGTAGCGGGTTATGCCGCAAGCCTAGTAGCAATTAACTTCTACCAACTTGAAGTTAATATTACATGTATTACAGTACTACTTCAAGGATGTAATATCCGAAAGACAAAGCACGGAGAAGTTTGCAGAAATGAGAAAAGAATGATGTTGATCGAGCGTTATTCATTGCGTAGACAAATAAACACAGAATATCAAACAATGTAATTTTGATAACGGTTATCTTTCATACAATTAGATGGACTCGTTGATAAATGAAGCTGGCAATGCACTTGTTCAACACATTAAAAGAAAAATCAAAGAGAATGATGAAGTAGACTTCGTGAGGTAGGTACTGTGGAAGACACTGACAGACCCTTGCTTCGAATTAAGTAAAGATGTGCTACAGAAATGTTCAAATGCTTATTATTGAACTGTAACAGCATCATCACATGTTCCATCATAATAAAGATCTAGAATGAAAAAAGTCAAATATTCATATTCTATCACTTAAGTTATCTTTTCTAAAATTCGTAGGTCGGTTACCTTTTTTTCTGGATATGTGTTGATCGTTTAATATACAGGTTGTTCGGATGTTATACCATTGACGTCATTGCCTCCACTGCATTTGGAATCAAAATTGATTCACAAAGAGACCCCGAGGACAAATTTGCGCGAATGGTCTCACAACTTATAAATGTACCACTCAGCTCGCCTCTACTGTCTCTTGCTTGTAAGTATAACCTTTGACAGACAATCTACAATGGATTTATTTGTTGAAATGAAGTCTAGTTTTAATAAAACTTTGTTCCAATTTAATTAATATATTGAAGCTCGTAATTGAATGAAACTTCATAATACCTTCAATTCTAGTTACATTTCCCGAACTTTCGAGGCCAATTGCTAAACTTTTCAAAGTTAGTTTCTTGAACAAGGAGGCATCTGCGTTTTTCAAGAAAGAAATCGAAAAAGAGTTTAACACAAGAGATCCTAGTAAAAAGGTGATGGTTTTGAAAATATAAAATTTGTATGAAATAGTCGTACTCTTAAAAAAATTAACATACTTGGCATACTAATGATACATGTATTATACATTTATTGACTGGGTTCGATGGCGTGTGTACGGACCCAAGAACCAAAGTTTTTGCTTGAGGCCGTTAGGTTGAGGGCAACAATTTGGTTCGAGAATCCGGCAAATCGCTTTTTTCCCGAAAATCCAGTCAGTATGTTTTATTATACCTTAAAAATTGTTTCCATTACAAATCTTGCGGTGGCCTGTCCTTATTTGCCATGCAGATGACAAAATTTTTTTAATGTAAATTTCAGTTACCTGCAATGCGAATTTAGCTTGGTCAATTTCGTAACTATCAAACAACAATGAATGCATATTAAACATAGATCTAGCATGTTCTCGTGTCGGATGATCTCGATTAATGTGACTTAAGAAAAAGGTAATATAGCGGCCCAACCTAACCGACCGGTGTGACCTGAAAGGCATCATGGAGAGTCCAACTTCGAATTCTCGAGAGTCGAGACTGGTTCAACATATCACCGACCTGTCAAACACCGTATTATTTTGGACTGCTCAGTGAAAAAAAAAACCTTGAAAATTTCAGATTTTTAGTATACAAGAGATTTATATAGGAAATAAATTTTAAAGGTATTATTTCGGATGCATTGGTGTCATAAAATGTGATATCATAAATACTTTATAAAAACAGATCTGTGGAGTGTATTTTTGCCTTTAATGTTTTATTTTCGAATTTGATTGACAGGAATATATAGATTTCATCCAGTTGATGAGGGACGCCCATAATGACAATCCACAGGAAACGGACGAAAAAAGAGGTGTGTCTTCATTATTGTTCAAGCTCGATATTGTATCACATTGCGTGAAATAAATATACCCTCTGACCTTAGCTGGCCATGCTTGAATTATCAAATTTAAAGGAGATGGGCGAACATAGCGTGCAGAAAGCCTATAGCTTCAGATATATAAAAATCATGTTCAAGTTGTGAATTTAGTATTCAGAGTTAAGTTTTCAGTATTGAAATTTATGAAATTGTGATAAACAAAAATTTTACCAGAAATATTTTCTCAGCGAAATTTATTCTTTCATTAAAAAAATAATGTTGTATTCCTGGGGTTCGAGCTAACCACTAGACTTTACATGTCCTGATGAATAGTGGCATTTAAATAATGTTTGTGATATGACCCTTGACTTCATGGACTTCAAGTATTTCTCGAAAAAATGTGAATGTTATGCCATAAAAGTATATTTTTAAGGTATAGTGGGTCTTTGCTCCATATTTTTGGTAACCAAAAAATGTATATTTTTATGCGAACTTAGAGGATTAACTTACTAAAAAATGGAGCGAAGACCCACTCATATCAAAAAATAGAGTTATAGTATGAGAAAATGACTCTTTTTTGCTCTATATAGTGTGTTTTTAATATTTCATAAGCAAATAATTTCAATCTTTGTGAGATTTTTGTAAATGGTAGAGATTTTACATAAAGTATATTTTAATGTTAGATGAAATATGAAGGAAAATTTTTATATAATTGAGATTTAATTTTTCACCTTCATGTTTGTCACACTATAGGCTTTTCGCTCGTAATGTTCACCCATCTTCTTTTGATTTAAAAAGATTATAATTCAGAAGTTAGTGTGTCTGTTGACATTTTGATAGAACTTAGACTTTTGTATAATTTTGAGACGAGGAAATACGCGCTTATTGACGGTTCTAAGAATGAGTGTTAGTCCTGAAAAACAAAAATGGCGCCCGAAGGGTAAGCCTAACATTTTGGCGGAGGATTCAACAAATTATTTATATATGTTGCCTGAATCTCAGTAAGTAATTGCTTTGATTTACCCTCCACTTGTTGAAAAATTTGGATACCATCTTTATAAGAAAAGACAAATTGTGTGTATTCGATCAGTCCCAAAATGTTGACGATGAATAGGTAGCTACAGTCCTATATTATTTATAATAGTTGGACCTCTTGCCTCAATATCAGATTTATTGGACTTTTCATCCGTAGTATTTATATCGTGATATATTTATAAGGGTAAAAAAGAACTTTATTTCCAGGATTAACTACTACTGAGATCATCGCTAACTGCCTGCTGTTCTTCTTTGCCGGCTATGAGACCACTGCCGTCACGCTGTCTTTTTTTGCTTACATGCTGGCTCTCCATCCGGAAGTTCAGCAGCGGGTGTACGAAGAGATCGTGTCAGAACTAGGTGATGTAAGTCAAAAAAAAGTGATTCTCTTGAAAAAAAAAAAAAAAATTTCGAGCTTATTTGATTTCTGTACAGATATATCGCAAAAGAAGGATGGTCTATTCAGAGAAGTAACATTGATTTTCAAAGTAGGAGGGGGTTGGGTAGGGAAAAAGGAGAAGCACAAGAAAAGATCCTGAAACAATATTGAGGAATTGGTCACTAGCAGATGGATATGGCAAAGCTTAGCTAACGAATGTATCATTGTCATAGGTTAGCTACCAAATAGATCACTGACATATGTAGCTAATGAATGGATCACTGGCAAATGATAGCTTACGAATGGACCACTGACAAAGGCTAGCTAACGAATGGACCACTGACAAAGGCTAGCTAACGAATGGACCTCTGGCATAGATTAGCTAAGGAATGGGTCACTGGCATTGGTTAAATAACGATTGTTGAAGAAAAAGGCTGTAAAAAAACTACAATGGAATCGTCTTGCGCGTTCTGGGCTATGTAGATGTAGATCATCAGATTTCATACAGAATCTGCTTGACTCAGTCACCGAATGCACACTTTACTTACAGGAAGAACCAGGCTATGACAACATCGGAAAGTTACAGTATATAGATATGTGCATCAATGAAACGATGAGAATATTCCCTGTAGCTCCAAGGTAACATTGACTGACTACATTCTGTAATTTTGTAAGCTAGACAAAGGTATATTTTATCATGTCGGAAGTTTTTGCTTGTTTTTGATTTTGATGTACAGCATGACCTCATCATTAAGCAAGTTTTATGGTCGATATAATGACCTTATCAGCAAATATAATCTATCATTAAATCAAATGCTGACCGATGTTTTTCATACTAATTGTTATGCCATTATTTACACACTGAATTGCCTATGCCCCCCCCCCCCCGATTTTGACAAAGAGAACACGGCGGGTGTGACCGGTCGACACTCCTCCATGGGACCTAGTCCCACCTCTGATGTTTTAGAGGTCCGTGTTTGCTCTGTTGTTTGAGTAGACTTATGAGCTTGAATACTGTTAGTTATCTCCAGATTTCATTGTAACGTAAGCATTCATGTAAGGGTCTTTAAAATCGTGCTTCCGCATCAACGATAGAACCGCAGTTAAAAGTCTGAATATATTTAATTTAAAAAGTCTCAAATGCTGTTAGCGAAGACACATTTAACAATAGATATGGAAGCACTGTGTTACATTGCTAGTTAATATTGTTTGTATTTTGGTATTTCTACAGTAAAAGTTCTTTTAGTTTAATTTATCTGTTACGAAAATATCTAAGGTTTTTAATTTCTTTATTGATCATTAGAAAATATGTTTATGTATTGGAGGAAATTTATTAATTGATTGTCTTCATTTGATTAGGCCTTGAGGTTTCAATTTCAATTTCTAAGACGAGATCGTCGACAGGTACAGTACATGTACATATACCTCCGCTATAATGGTTATTTCTTTTCCTTCAGGACTGACAGAACATGTATTCAGGATACTGAAGTAAATGGACTTAAGATACCTAAAGGCATGAAGATTGCGATACCGATTTGGATTTTACACCATTCCGATAAACTCTGGGAAGATCCTGCAAAATTCGACCCAGAAAGGTTTTCCAAACAAATTCTTCATTTAAAAAAAAAATCAACTTTTTTTCAAACTCTACAAAAATATTTACTTTGTATCTATCTGAGACTCGATTTATAGGTACATGCGGTCTTTCTCATTATTCATGATATATATATATATATATATATATATATATATAGATATATATATATATATATATATATATATATATATATATATATATATATATATAGATAGATAGATAGATAGATAGATAGATAGATAGATAGATAGATAGATAGATAGGGTATCTTCGCTGACACCTCGAATGAGTCGAGTAAATTTGTTGAATGGATGTATATCCAATATATAGAACTTCAAACACAGTTATCATGTTGTATACTTTGAATTTACCCACAATCAATGAATTTAAATTTGAAATTTACAGCATGACAGATGGACCTACATAATTGTCTAATTTCTCTGACTTTAACATTTCTGCAACTACGAAGACTAATACTGATTGACCAAGACAAAGGAACATATACAGTAAACACACATGAAAATAAGAAATGAAGGAAGTTTCATTCTACGTGGTTTATATTTACATTGTTCTACTTTAGATTTTCAGCGGAAAATAAAGCCAAGATGAATCCATATCAGTTCATGCCTTTCGGGTATGGTCCCAGAATATGTATCGGAAAAAGACTGGCTCTGACCGAGATCAAAGTAGCCTTGACCAAAGTTCTCAGAGAGTTTGAATTAACAACATGCTCCAAAACGAATGTGAGTATTATTGAATATCGAGAAAGATGAAGATAACGAACAGTGATCGATATAAAAAAAAATACAAACAATACAAATCAGTGGACGGAACATGAAACACGGACCCCCGGAAATTCCAGAGGTGGGATCAGGTGCCTAGGAGGGGTGAGCATCCCCTGTCGACCGGGCACACCCGGTTGATCAGGTAGACGGAGTAATCCGTGGTCAAATTAAAAACAAAGGCCTAACAATTGGTTTTAAATCTGTCAGTCTACATACAACCTAATGATAGGTTGTATTTGCTAACAAGGCCACCATAGAACGACCATGGAATTTACGAAATGCTGACTTTAAAAACGAGGAAGTAAGAAATGTTCAAACATGGTGAGAATGTATATATATATGTTTGTATGTGTGTGTGTCAGGCCCGTAGCAATGGTTTCAAAAGTGTTGGGACAACTTCCCAAAAAAGGAAAAAAAACCTAAACTGACCAAAAGTGGGGGGAGGGGGTGTCGCAACTTCTCAAAATTATCTGACAAGCTTAAAATAAAGGGTAATTTACTGTCCATATCCTGGAATTTGCCAGTGCTCGACCTTACAACATCAAAAAGTAGGGGGCCAACCAGCATCTAAAGGATAATTTAGTATAGTAAAACACTACATTCAGAAAAAAGGGGTCCCCTGCGTTCTACGGGCCTGTGTGTGTGTGCAAAAGTTTGTTTGTTTTTAGATATATTTGCTTGCTATTTGAATTCGACAATTAATGGATACATTGATTTCTTTTCATGCCAATGCATATGTTTTATATGATAATAATTGGTATTAACAAAGTTTATTCATACCTTAATATTTTTATTGAAAATTATAAAAAAAAAATATTCTAAACGTGTTTATTTTCATCGTAGATACCACCTAAGTTGACACACGTAGGCCTTGTTAAACCTGAAAATATGTGGCTGAAGGTGACCATGAGATGACATGCTCAATCAAAAGTTAATGATACATACATGCAGTGTATTGAACAACCTTCATGTAATTATTAAGTGCAAGATCAATGGGTGGAAATTGTGTTTTGATTATTTTAAACAGTAAGCTTTAGTAAGATTTTCTTTCTTTCCAGCTGAATAACACAATGAATAAAATTTAGCAATTCACAAATTGTTCTTTTTTTTTAAGAGGATCTGATTTTTCGTCATTCTTGGCTCCTTCTCCTTTTGTAATTAGAAATTTATCAGTGTATTGATTTTCATATATTCCCAAGTATACCTGTAGCAGTAGAAACTAATTAGATTTAATATCCTACTATAGAAATACATATTTACAATAGTATACAAATACGAGGGTCGTTCAATAAATAATGCAATAGGTCATCTAAAAGTAAGAAACGTACGTAATACATATTCTAAACATTTTCAATCCCTCAAAGCATTCCCCGTTATCCTTTACACATGTCATAAGTCTTTGTACCCATGACCAGAAAACCTCAACATACCCATCTTTAGGATACCCTAAAGACACTGAAGAAAATAACTTCCCATGACATATCTAATATTGTACAATCTTCCTTTGATTGTTTTCATGCATTTTTGGAATAAAAGATCTCAAAATGGCTGAGATCTAGCGAATATCGGGGATGGAAAAGCTCTGTAAACTTTCTTTTCTTCATGATTTCATTTATTTCTCTGTGCCTATTTGCAACAGCGTTGCCAGGTGCAAGAAAATTACACTGGGCGGTATTTGGACTTTCTTTGCAGGGTATCTGTTTACCTTTCCTCAGTGCAATTTGAACATTAACGTTTCCATTGATGGTCCTTCCTTTAGGTGTATGTACATGTTTTACTGGACCTCTTGAAAAAATGAAAACTGATAAAACATGCTTGGAGCCCTTGTTTCTTTTTACAATGATAAGAAGGATAGCTTTTTCTTTGATTCAACATTTTATTATTGATCTTCCTTTTTGACCATAAAAAGGTGCACCCATGTTTCGCCATTCATCATGCAAATTAACAAACCTTGTATTTTGTTAAATTATTTCTTTTTAAATAGACCGTTGGCACATTTAATGCGTTTTTTTCTCTTAGGCAATTATATGAAAATAAGGCACCTATCTGATAGAAATATCATAATATTCATTTTCGTTGTTAGAATTCTATAAAATGTTATGACGATGAAATGCTGAGTGTTCTAGCAATGTATTTGAATGTAAATCTGACATTTTTAGATATCATGTTGTACATAGCACCGATAATTTTTCTTGCCCCTACAAATTGCAATCGACCAGTTACACTTATATATTTTAACTCTCCGTTTTTTTTTTACTTTTGAATTTCTGAATCAATCTGAAAACTGTACAGCGTTAAAGACTATTCTTTCCACATATAAAAATCATATCTTTAATATGAGTTCTTCGACGATTTATGTAAAGGAGCACACTTTTCGCATACGCTCTCATTTTCATCTTCTTGGCAGAGATCATTTTAAACAGTTTTCAGTTTTAAACAATTTTCAGTTTTCAGCAGTTTTTCAGCTCAGTGTAGTGACCATGCATACTTTAAAAAGGAATTTCTTTGCGAGGACAATAGCACTGTGTAGAAACGGACTAGGGTAAAGTGCGTTACCCTAGTCCAAGATGGCAATAGGCAAATAGGCTTCGACTATTTTGCACATAGTTTACGCATTACTAGTATACAGGTTTACGTTATGAAATGGATGGTTTTATTTTAATTATTTTAAACAGAAGTACATAGCTATTGCAAAAATTTTGCATGATCTGTGCTGATTAAAGCCAATTACGGATAGAAAATTTGAGTAAGATTAGGGTAACGCAAATTTACGACTAGGGTAAGGATTTTGTGACCTCTTTGAGTGATTAGGGTAAAGCCTGTGTAAAATGTCATTTTTGCTTGTTTGGGGTTTAAAAAATGCTATTTCAGCAGATTCAAAAAGCACTCTGCCAGTAAATTCATAATTCATTGTACCAAATACTATATAATTGAAAAATTCTCAGTGCGCTGACAATTTCTGGAAGAACACAGTAGCCTAATTTTGTTCAAATCAAATCAGTTTAGGTTTCTATTTATTAAACAAATTGAGTCTTGAAAACAGTGTTCTGTTGATTTTGATACGGCGAAAAACTTCAAATATATACAGATCAATTAAAGTATCATCAATGACGTGAAAAAAAGTCAGAAAAAAATCATACTCAAGACCTCTGAAAAGTATAAACAGAGGTGGGGTGCAATGGAGGAATAATCATACACCCTGTCCACTGGTAAAACCTGCCGTGTACTCTTTGTCATGATCAGGAAAATGAAAAAAAAATGGCCTAACAATTCATAAGAAAAAAGTCAGTAAACGTTCGACTTAACGATTTTGCAAACAAGGTCATTGTATCAAACATGGAATTTGCGAAATGGTATTTAGTTCGACTACCTTATTACATCATATTTGTGAAAATAATTTTGTAAATAAATACTGATAGAGCTATGTCCTCATCATTACACATTTGTCAATACATCTATACGTTTCGTTTCGTTTTGTTTACAGATTTATGAGATTTATCATTGTTTGATATCTTCTCAATTTACATTATTATACTTTAAAACAAAATCCCACACTTAATTGTTTCCTTGTTTGTGATCTAGTGTAAAAAGTCTCTTGCTGTGACATTCACTTTAACAATTGGATATTGACGATGCTTTGTCAATATACATTCAAAGTCTGATTTGTTACGTCCAATTAAACTCAATAAAAGACACAAAATATTCTGACACATTACATATTTGGATGTTTTACTCAAGAAAGACATTGATGGTAAACTAAAACCTACATGTAAGCTTAAAAGTTTATGATAAACGTGATGACTCCAACTCTTCTTTCATCAACTTCCCTATTTATTTAGCGATATATAATTTTTTTTAACCTGCATATAAGGTGTATTTAGTCAGTGGATTCGATGAGGAAGAGCATGTTTTCGTACGAACAATATCTAAAACGAGACAGACTACTGACGAATAAGTTGATTACACAATGGTATCAATAATTTCGTTTGAACGCCAACATCTTGCAAATCGTATGTTCAATGCAATGATCTTGTTAGCAGATATATTTTGTTGTTAGTTCGTATGTTGACTGATGTCTTTAATATAAATTGTTAGTTCATTATTTTCTTAATGAATTATGAACACATTTTCCGTTTATCTGATTAAAACAAAGGAAACGTGGTGGTGACCAATCGAAAGATGATGCCTACTCCCCATGGCACCTGATCTCAGCTCTGATGTTTTCCGAGGTCCTTGTTCGCTCATTTCACAATTTGCATTGTTAATTGGACTTTGGGCATGAATACTGTTTGCTAATTTCACATTTTAGTTGATAAAAATTTATTTCAATAATCTGCAATGCGGATTTAACTCGATCAACATTCATTTACTGTCGAGTACCAACAACTACAAATTAGACAGGGGTTGCTGAGTCATTTTCGATGATTTCACCAAACGTGGGGATTAAGGATGCAAAGAAGATTTAGATCAATACATGAAACAATACTTAAAGTTCAATCAAATAAATTAATTACATCATTTATACATGTATATTTATTTAACAATGAAATAATACATGTACATGAAACGGATAAGAGTAATATTTTTGTATGAAAATTGTGGTTATTAAAAATTTGCAATCGGTATATATCTTTGAGGAAGCAAAATTTCTTGAACATGTTCGAGAAAGCCTTTTCCAACTATATTAATTGAATAAAGCAGTTAAAATATCAAAATCGTGCACTATCAGTTTGTAAAATAAATAGCTTTACCCTAGTCTCGAAAAAAATTTACCCTAGTTCAGAAGCTTTACCCTAATCTGCAGCAAAACTTTGACGTGCATTTTCTATTTAATTACGCTAAAGTTGAATACAATCTCCATGCGAGCATGTAAAACTGAAGCTGCCCGACAGCTTGGTGCAAAATAAACTAAAACTTAAAGCCAGAAATCACCAATATTTGCATGAACAGAGCCCAGAGAGACCGACCACGGAAAAACATTGATCAAAAAAGCTCACTTGATCCTTTGGCTCCGTTGAGCTAAAGAATAAGAGTGTAGCAGATGGTAAATATAACAAACGCAGCAAAAGGATGTGACGTAAATGAAAAAAGAAGATATTCATACTCTTTATTCTCGTCCATTTATTTGTTTGTAAACATCTGCTTCATATTCATCGAAGAAACTACCAGTAATGATTGTTATGTGTAATATATTTTATTCATTCCCTTGAAAAAATTATATGGAAAGCCAATGTTAGTATACAAGTAATGCTAGTTATGCCATCAAAAGCTACTCGATAAGGACATTTACCGAACCCATCGGGTTTTTACGAGGACTAGCTCTCCCTAAACGTGTTTATTTCTGGGATTTTTAGTTACACTAGTGAATAGACATATATTTGTGACCAACTAAAAATAAATGTGAACAAAGCTCTTACAAGAGAGAGATACACATATTTCTCAATCTTACGAGGGTCGTTCAATAAATAATGCAACAAACAGTATATCAAAGTAAATGTAGATCTGTTTAATTTTATTTTTTCACAGTTGAAACGTTTAATTAAAGAGCTCCTAATCACAGAAAACCCCATGATTTTTCCTATTCACTGTGTAGAAACGGACTAGGGTAAAGTGCGTTACCCTAGTCCAAGATGGCGATAGGCAAAAACGCTTCAAATTTTTTCGTCTTGCACATTAGCAGGTCAATTTCGACGACTAAATGTATTGCAAAACTTTCTTACGTGGAGATTCAATTTTGTTTAAATAAAAGGACCATAGATACATTTTAAAGTGAGATTATTAAGAAATAGGGTTTGCTTATTTAAAAAATAAATTTTGAATAATCATTAACCACTGAGCTTAAAAAACAAAACAAAAAAAAATATGTGAAAGTTTTCAAATATTAGAAGTCATCAAAACACGGAACCATAGAAGGGGGTCAATACTTGACAATGAATTGTATTGAGATAAAACTAAAAACATTCTGTTCGAGAACCTTAGGGCTACAGATTAATATACAGACTCATGTAGTGAATATTCAAGTTTGTTCAAACCATGGCCCCGGGAGGGGGGGGGGTATTTTTTTTTAAACACTGAAATGTTTCCTTATTTTATGCA